CTCCGAGGAGGGGCTGGTTTCCAGGGGGGGGGGGGGCGGTGAGCAAGCAGCCCCGTAGGCGCGGCAGCGCCGGCGCGTTCTCATCCGAGGGCCACACGGGCCGACCGCCTGCGCGTACGGGACCAGAGAACACTTCCGTGTTGAATGACGTGGCGTAACGCTAACGAGCCCCCGCCGCCTCTGCAGTACCTGTTGTCTGGTATTTTACGTGCTTGGTCTGTAATACCTGAAAAGAGCTGCAAAAAATTAAATGAGGGAGACCCCCTCCTTGCTGCCGCGGCCCGGAAGGACCAGGTCGGGCTCCCGAGCCCGCATCCCGCTGAAGGGCTGCGTTGTCCTCGCTGGGAACGTTGCACGGGGAAGAGTGGGAACGTTCTGGGGTGAGGGAACGGGTTAGGAGGAAGAACAGTGAGCTAGCTAAAAATGTCAAGAATATTTCCTTTCACGACTACGAGCTGAGGGTTAGCGAACTATCTAGTGATAGCGGTCAGATGGTTCAGCGGGGGCCCTGGGAGCAAAAATGACTTGAAAGCAGGGTCTTTGAACTAACAACACGCATTACAGAACTGATGAATGGTCTCTGCTTCAAAAAGTCATTCATCGTGATCAAATGATGGTATCCTGCGTACAGCATAATAGCCCTTCCCTGGAGCTCGCCGTGTAAGGGTTGCAGCCGCAGCTGAACTCCGGAGCAGAAGCCCTCTGCCTCTCCGTGACGGCTGGCAACCTCTCTCCTTATTAGCCCTGGAGGGAAAGGAAAAAAACTTTCGGCTAAGAAAGCTCTGATAATAGAGCGATTGTCAGGCAGGCCTTAGAGAGAAGAGAACAGGGTCTTTGAAAAGACTATTGCTGACAAGTGGACTTTGTCATCCAGAAAGCACTTGAGATTCACCATAAACTGGCGAGAAAAAGGCTCCATTTTGGGGCGGGGGGGAAATCAGAGTGGGGGGCAGAAAAGAAGGTCAAGGAAAAATCTGTTCCCAGTAAAACCACAGAGCACTGTTGAGCCTGGCTTTGCTGGGCAGCCGAGTTGCTGGGCCTGAAAACAGCCTGGCCCTTGCATCCTCCTTCCCCCCATAGCTGCACCTGCAGGCAGAGCCCGTGTGGTACCAGAGCACCCGAAAGGGATGGTTTGTGCACCTCGGGGGACCGCCTGCCGCTGGGTTTAACCGCTGGCGATAGAAGCTGCTGCGGCAAGACCCGTACGCGTGCCGTGGGTAGGAAACCTGGCCCACTCGGAATAACCGTGTGTCTGGTGCTGGTCAGACCCCGAGGACAGCCGGAGGCGTGGTGGTTTGTCACCCGCTAACGTGATGGGAGGACGATGCCGAATAACCCCGTAACCTTCAGTGACCTTGGTGAAGGGGCTCTCGGGAATGGGTGACCCCGAGAGGGCCCAGGGGTTAGGAGCGAAGATCCGCGCCGACACCTTCTTCAAGAGAAGTCAAGAAGCAGCAAAAGGTAATTTTTAGGTAAGCCCAGCTGGTTCTTTCCTGCGGGTAGGGGCCGGGCCCCGGGAT